AATAAAGGATGATAAGTTTGCTCTCATACGTAATTTATCCTCGGATGGATGGATTGGTGCTTATGATGTTCGTTCTGCTCATTCAGGTGTTGAGATTTATCAGGAAAATACTTATACAATATGGCTGGGGGTAGCACAGATGCAGCAACCAAGGAGATGGAGGCATTGCATGTTGGGCAAACCAAGGAAACAGATGTAAGTGCTGTGCTGTAGAAGTTTTTTTTTTTACTCTGAGTTGAACCGTGAGTGTTCTTCCTCTCATTATCTTGCACGGTTGCTTAGGCATATTTTTCGCTTATGTTGGTCATGCAAAAAAATGTTGGGGAAGAACAAAAACCAAACAGGCTGTTGACCGATATTATTCTGCTTTGCAGAACTGGTATTCGCCACAAGTTGATAACTGCGTGTTGTTTCTTGCTATAGTTGCTTTTTTATTGCCTCATTGGTAAACTTGGTCCCACAGTGTAGTTTTAACTTATTTCCTGAGTTCTCTTCATTGCTGTTATGGACCTCTGACCACATGCCATGACTAGCCTTAGCATGCCTCAGTTATAAAGTGATATGTGATTACAACAGTCCTACAACTGATGCCAACTACTGTGGTTACATGGATTGCTGAACCTCACATGTCATCCTTCTCTTGGATGATCCTTGCAATGCTGTATATTATTTCTTTGATGGTAAATAACCTTCCCATTTTTGCTGCAGGAGATTCTGAAAAAGGCGTCAGATAGCAATGGCGGGGCTCCCGAAGCTCAGTCCCCACCACCACCAGCAGATGATGATGACGCACAAGTGGATGGTCCATCTGAAGGTGGAGCAGGAGGTGACAACTCTAATTTGCAAGATCTCATTTCTGTGTTTCTCATAGAGCTGGACCAGTGGATCTCTTGCTATTCTTGTTAGCATTTGGAAACTGGGACATGAATCATGTGATTAATTTTATTGTTGTGTGTCGAATGTATAGCTTCAGCGGCTGCGAAGAAGAAAAAGAAGAAAAGCAAGGCCAAGTGAGTTCTATTATTCAGTCGAACAATTAATGTTGCTCTATTTTACGAGCATTTCACGTGTTCTCTTGTAGAAAGAAGAAGGACCCCCTTCAGCAGACAGATCCTCCATCAATCCCTGTGGATGAGCTTTTCCCTTCAGGAGATTTTCCTGAGGGAGAAATCCAGGAATACAAGGATGAGTAAGTATTGAATCATAGGAATACGGTGTTTTTTACCTTCATAAAACAGGCAAAGGTTAAAATTGCATGGATAATCTTATAACTTCTTAAAACGATACAGAAATAGTATTTTGTTTCATTTGTCGCTAATGAAGGATTCTGCAAAATGATAATTATCTTTTGTTTTGTACATTACTCATGTTATTTGCTCTTCAGTAATTTATGGAGAACAACTAGTGAAGAAAAGAGGGAACAGGAACGACTACAAAAACCAATGTACAATTCTGTTCGCCGAGCTGCAGAAGTCCATCGACAGGTTTAGAATATTCTAGCCTACTAGCCTCTATTATTTTTTCCAGCTTCATTTTATCTGTATCTTTGGTTGGTGCATCTCTACAATGTAAATATGGCTTGCTAGGTACGAAAGTACATGAGGAGCATTATAAAGCCTGGAATGCTAATGATGGAACTATGCGAGACTTTGGAAAACATGGTTCGGAAACTTATCAAGGAGAATGGACTGCAAGCTGGCATTGCCTTTCCAACAGGATGCTCGTTGAATTGGTACGGTATTGCTCTAGAGTGCTTCCTAGTACTGCGTCCCCTTCTCACATTGACGGAAGAATTTTTTGCTTAGGGTCGCAGCTCACTGGACTCCAAATTCTGGTGATAAAACTGTACTACAATATGATGATGTGATGAAGCTGGATTTTGGGACACATATCGATGGTATGTCTGTTTTATTACTTTGTTCGGTTCTTTCTTCAATGATCTTGGTGTATACTTGTTAATGTTTTGTCCTTGCAAGTCCGACTTCATGATATTCATAATTCATGAAAACTAACATGATAATGTGATTTTTCCCAGGGCACATAGTTGATTGTGCATTTACCGTCGCATTTAATCCCATGTTTGATCCGTTGCTGCAAGCAACGAGAGATGCCACAAATACTGGAATCAAGGTAATTCTACATACTTCGTTTACTCGGTACATTTTAACTCAAAATGGACTCATATACTACCAAATGAATGCTTCCCATAAGCAGCTTTGCTCATAGTATTTCTGATAGCAGCTCTACTCTTTGGAAGAACACAGTGATAGGTTGTCGTTAAAGCTTGTGCTTTTGATTACCTTTTGTAGTGTCTGTTTCAGCGTGCTGTCATTTCTCCAGCTTTTTATATAGTGCTTTGTTTGGGTCTGTCTGAGTTTCGTTTTTCACCTGTTAATGATCTGATGTATGGATGTTTGAAATCATATCCCCTAAGTCATGTCTATTGTTTGCTATGTACTCCCTCCGTCCCAAAATAAGTGTCAACTTTTGTACTAACTCTAGTACAAAGTTGTACCAAGGCTGAGACACTTATTTTGGGATGGAGGGAGTACTTAATAATGTTTATTTATCCTTCATTTCAGGAAGCTGGAATAGATGCACGGCTTTGTGATGTCGGTGCTGCAATCCAAGAAGTCATGGAGTCATATGAGGTTGAAATTAATGGGAAAGTTTTCCAAGGTATGTGTAGTTTTTTTCTTTCCCATTCTGCACTAGTAGAATTGTAGTGACAGCATGATGATTTAATGGCTTCTTTGTTTTGCGGCAGTAAAAAGTGTGCGAAACCTCAATGGACACAGCATTGGACCATACCAAATCCATGCTGGTAAATCAGTCCCAATTGTAAAAGGCGGAGAGCAAACTAAAATGGAGGAGGGTGAATTTTATGCCATTGAAACTTTTGGGTCTACAGGTATGTCACTATAGAGCTTGAACTCGTAGGCCCACTAAGAAGTCATTTTCATCGCATTAGTAATACACTAAGTACGTACTTCCTCTGTCCGTACAAGTACTCGCATGGCCTTGGCTTTACAATCGATGTCCGTTTTCCCTACTCTCTTCAAATTTTGGACAGTTTTACATTTCATAAGCTCCATTTTGTTTGCAGGAAAGGGATTTGTGAGGGAGGACTTGGAATGCAGTCATTACATGAAGAACTTTGATGTTGGGCATGTACCGTTGAGGGTAGCAAAAGCCAAGCAGCTACTGGGGACAATCAACAACAACTTTGGAACACTTGCATTTTGCCGCCGGTACTTGGACCGCATCGGCGAGACCAAGTATCTCATGGCACTGAAAAATCTATGTGATGTTGGCATTGTTCAGGTATATGTGAGATAGAATGCCACCATTTCCATCCGAATGTCTTATCATGGACATGGTTACTCACGGTTTCATGACCTGTTTGCAGCCGTACCCGCCATTGTGCGATGTGAGGGGAAGCTATGTGTCCCAGTTTGAGCACACCATTTTGCTCCGGCCAACCTGTAAAGAAGTCATATCCAGAGGCGACGACTACTGATTGGGGCTGCGGCTCCTGTCTGTACCTGTCGCCTGCAGCGATTAGTGTTTTACCGTCTTGGGTGACCTGTGTTCGTTATTATGGATCAAATGGCACATCAGAATCAGACAAATAATGCGGTTACATTGCACCCTTTTGTTTTCTGAGTTTAGAATTTGTGGAAACTGGTTTGTAAGAATTGCTACCGTGTTGTATTACTTGATCCCTCTATAAAGAGTACTTCCTGGAGATTTTTTATCATTAGCGTGAGTACATCAATTTCTGTGACACGTAATTTAGGACAGAGGGAGTACATGCTTATACGTGGAGGGATGAAAATCATTTACCAGCTGTAGAAAAAGGAGAATCGTCCCACTGGTCACCACACAGAGTACTAGTAGTTTTCGTCCCCGACATGGAACCCTAATTGAAGTCCACATACTACTAGACTGGATAGTACTTCCTCCGTCCTAATATAAGATGTTAATATAACCAATTCAACGTTGCTCTGCTCTGATAAGTCGAATGCTTAGTGTTCTTTTTGTCATGCCAATGTTGGATGTAAGGTGAATATTGTATCTTGGTTAGTTATTAGTCGTGTCTTGTGAAGTTATATCAATGTTGTTTTGTAAGTGCATCAAGTGTCTCGGTGTTTTTGGAATATTGAAGGCAAATAGGTTGAGGCGCTAAGGAGTTTGTAAGTGTACACATGAGTTATAATCCCTAAAGATTTGGTTTAACCGATGAAAGATGACCTCTAAAAATGTATTTTTTTTTCAAGTGAAGAAATTGATATGACATTTAAAAAAATTGATGTGAAGACTTTGAGGCTTGAAGACTTTTGTTTTCATAATTTCTTTTATTTGAGTCATATAGTAAAAACTGTATTGTTAAAGGGGGTCTAGATAAAACATATTTCACATTTCAAAAGAATTGCTCAAAGCTATACATACTCAGGCCGCTTCAAGTGAAGCCTTTGGAAATCTCCGGAACAGTGACAACTTTGCTAGCGATAGTGATGAAATTCATCTGGTCGCCGACGAATTTGGTCACACTGAGGAGATAGAATTTTGTCAATGCGATCTGCCTATCGTGAGGAAATTGAGAGCCCCGATGAAATTGATAGTTCAATTTTTCGACCGTTGTTGCACCACGTGCCAGCTGTCAAGTAGATCCTTATCCTGACAATGGTCATGTCTGAAGGGGCATTAATGACATTTCATGTCGGGTTGCCCCTCGCTATAAATAACCGCCCCTACAACCAAATGTTGGTTGGCTACTCTAGAGAAAACTTGACACCTGTCATCTGAGAGAAACCCTTCCTCTGACGACTTTGAGAGAAACCCAAGTGAGGAAAATCTCAACCAGAGCAAAAGTGATTAAGCATCACTGAAAAGATTGATCTTTGTGATCCGACGTCTATTACCTTTGAAGATTGTCATTCTTCCAGACGGTTAGACGTCATGTTTTGAGCACCCAAGAGTAATTATGGTGTACCGGTGAGCAAGTCTGTAAAGGTTTTGGAAGTCTACCTTGAAGACTTACCACGAGTGATTGGGCGAGGTCTAACTGACCTTAGCTCAAGAGAAATACGGTGAAGACTAAGTGTAAGGGCATATTTATCCCTAAGGTGTTTTGGTGATTGATGACAACGCGTTTGCGGACTAATCGTGTGCCTTGAGTATCCCAGACATTTCATCGCCAGGCACAAGACGGTTGGGTGCCCCTCGAAGACTGTTGAAGACGACATCTTTTCTACGTTTCTTTTTGGTGGATTTGAGTCGTAGGAAAGCCGTACTATTAAGAGGTGGTCCGCCTCGGAAAGGTTTGGGTGGAATCATGTCGGTGGGAACGACACCTATGGGATCACAAGAATCCCTACTACGGTTGCGGGGCGCGGGGTCGTGAGAAGAGCGGATCAAACAGATAGCACACGGTTCGTTTATCCAGGTTCGGGCCGCGAGGATGCGTAAAACCCTACTCCTGCTTTGGTGGACTGTATATCTGTGTTCTTGAGCTAGCTATGGGGCGTGAGGAGCTCCAAAAAGCCGAATCCTCCTCCTGGTCGCCTCGGGCCTCCTTTTATAGGGAAGGGATTGCCACAGTGGCACACAGGAGGTGGAAAGGGTACAGTGATGTGAGGTTATCCCTCGCATTACATGACAAGGCACATTTAATGCATCTTGCCCAGGTGTCCTTGCTTTATCGGGGACGGGGGAGAGCCCTGTCTCGTCCGTCGCCGCTCCCTCTCGTGTCGACACGCGCCCTGGCCAGCGGCGCCCGCGGTGCCATGTAGGCAGGCAGGCAGCTAAGGTGGCGGAGTGGTGGGTCTCCACGAAGATCCGCATGCCGCCACGCAGGTGCCTGCCCAGCTGGTTGGGTCAGCAGCTGCATGCGAACGGCGGTGGAGGTTTGACTGGCGTGGGCCTGATGGTGGCCCTACGGGTGTTCTTGGCAAGGGCCTTGCCGGGGCCCCGGCAAGGGTCTTGCCATGGCGCCTGCTGTCATCCCCGGCAAGGCTCTTGCCGGGGGCCTTGTGGTCCTCCTTGGCTGGGATTCCGCCAAGGATCATCATCTTCTAAAGGGTGTATCTGATCTTGAATGTCTTCACCAAGATCCGCATGCCACCACGGGGATGTCTCCCGAATCCTTGCCCCATGGGGGCAGTGGACTCAAGGGTGACTCACTCCGTAGGTGTGGGGCGAGCTGCCACGGCAAGGGTCTTGCCGGGTTTGCTAAAACCGCCTCCCGGCAAGGATCTTGCCGGGGGGAGTCCACATCGTCCCCTTTGCTCTTTGTGGTCTTGGTCTTGGCGTCGTTCTGCTTCTCTCGAGCTTCGGCCTTACCTTGGATCACCTCCCTTGCCTTGCTCAGTGTGGTGGTGCCCGTGGCTCAGACTGCCCGTGCACAGTTATAGGGGTACAAAAAGCGTACCCCTCTTTTTGTACACCGACAGGAGCCCCCGGGCCTGGGCCACACGTAAGCGCAATCGCGTCGTTGGGCTAGGCCCAAAAACGGTGCGCGGGCAGGCGGGGCGGCTTTTACCGCGGTAAGTCTCTTCGCGTGCTGCGCTTCCCATGCTTCCCGCGCGTGGCGCGGCGTGGGGAGGCGTGTGTGACGTGGGCGGCATGTGTGGGGCTGAGCTCTGCATGCATGCGTCACGTCATAGTAAAGGGGGCGGTTCGCGTCTTCCCCATAAACGGAGGGAGGCGTGGAGGCGCGGCCCATTTACTGAACAGAGCCGAGGCGTGGTCTTCAAGGCGTCCACTCCCCACGATCACAGGGTGGGGAGAGGTCGCCTCACCCATCGCCTCGGTCCTGCACGCCTGCCACGTGGCTCTCATGCGCTTGGGGTGGCGAACGGTGGAGGCGGGAAACCGGGCCGCCGCGGGCTGGGGCGGCGGGTCGGTCCCAGTTCCCTGCGCCTTCCGCGTCTTGATTGGCTGAGCGGGGCGGCCGAGCCCCCACCCCGTTCCTTTATAAAGAGCGGGAGGGGGGGATGGCGTCCCGCATTCTTTCATCTCCTCCTTCCTTCAGCTTCTGCTCCCCCCTTCCATCCGCCATGGAGAGAGGGAATCCTGGTCCTTCAACTGTGGCGGCGAGGGTCGCCGCTCAACAACGCGTCCCTCCTTCTCCTGCACCTGCGATGGCAGAGCCAGCCGCGAGGGGAAGGGGGAGGGGGCGAGGCCGTGGGCGAGGCCGAGGCGCTCGGGGAAGAGGAAGACGGGGCGGCGCGCCGGCCTTGCCTCCGCCAGCAGTTCCTCCCCCCATGGAGGGCCACGTTGGGGATGACCCTTGCGAGTTTTTCGTCAGGCTGCGCCGACCGCCTCGCCGTCGCCTTCGTCTCCCGGCTCCATTCGCGCGGGAGATGGAGCTGGATCCACCGAAGTCGCTGCGGCTGCACATGAGGGGCTGTGGGATCAGCGGCACGCGGGTTCGCGTCGACTTCCGAGCCCCTCACATGATGTATCTTCGTCGAGGATGGAAGACGTTCGCTCATATCTACCGCTTCACGGAGGGTCTCACTCTCCATTTCAAGCTGATGGAGGGTGGCCTTCTCTCCGTCAAGGTCTTCGGGTGCTTCGAGACCCGTGCAAGGTGCTACGTGGAGAGCTCTTCTGACAGCGAAGACTCCTCCTCGGGCGAGAGTGACGAGGAGGACAGCGGCAGCGACGACGAGGGTAGTAGGCGGCAGGATGATGGGTCCGATTAGGTGTCGGGCGCCGCTCCGTGCGGCACCGGCGACCCCATCATCCGTGTCGCCGGCTCCCTGAACTTCTCGGGGTCGTCTCCTTGGGCGGCTGGCGTTGGGAGGCTGCGGAAGAGGAAGAGGGCGGGTGGCAAGGCCGTCAAATCAGAGTACGCGGGCACCGACGCCTTCGACGCGTGCTGACGTCCTGCCGCCTCGTCTTCGAGCTCTGCTTCCTGCGCTGCCATTACCATCCAGCCTTCGGACGGCCACCAAGATGTTCTCTTGGTGTCTTCTGCCACCCGTAGCTCGCCTAGGCGCCCCTTTTGCCCTTTTCGCCTCCTTGACCTGCCTCCTGAGGAGAGGGACAAGAAAGGGATTACGGGCACCTTATCTCTTTTTAGTTTGTAAGCCTTCGGGCCTTAGCTGAATTTGAAACTTGTAATTCCAACGTTCATGTTTTTCATTCCCTATGGACTGTACCTGAGTGGAATGTTTTTAATGAAAAAGGGATGCTTGCCGGGTCATTTGTTTGTGGGTAGAACCCACGACAAGGAGTAAATCCTTGATATCTTTAAGATAAACATTTCCTTGCCCGGCAACAGGCCTTGCCGTCTCCCCACTTCGCTCGACCTTTCTCACACCTTTGGCGGAGGCAGGGATGAGGTGGGTTCAGGCTCCTTGTTTCATCCTCTCGCTGCCGCGACTACGACCAAACCTGGCCCCAGGAACGAGCCCTAGGGCCTAGAGTTAGGGGAGCATGGTAGCTTTAGGAAAAAACGAGGTTTCACATACCTCAGTCCACAAGGGAATGCATGATAAGGGATGAAGA